CCAGCTCGTGCAGGCACTGCCTTGAAAACAGCTCCCCCTGGCTCCAAGACCCTGAAGCTGCTGTCGTCCCTGAGCCACGTTCCGGGTCCGTCCTCAGAGAGCGCCCCTCAGCACACTGCACCACTGTACGAGAGCGCAGAGCTGTAGATGCTGCGCTAACCCTAGTCAGTCAGCTACATCTGCTCAGAGGACTGTCATGTACCTGAGGCTGCTACACACCTGGACGAGGGAGTAGACGACAACAAACATCACGTCGCTCAGTCTCAGGTGAAGACCGAAGAAAACCTTAAAGATAATGAACTCAGAGAATCCACCCTGATCCTACAGTGAGAGCCTACAGTGTTCCTGCGATGGTCCAGTACCTGTAGAGCTGTAGTCTCCTCTCACCCCCCCACCCTCTGTCCCCCAACCCTTCAAGTCCAAGTCATGATGGATATGAAGCTACAGCACCAGTACCAGTACCAGGGTCCTGTCTGCTCTGGTCCACTGACCAACACTGTTCTCCTCAGTGACTGCACTTTAAACATAACAATGATGGGGGGGGACCCACCCCCCCCCCCACCTCAGTCTGATGTGTTGATTCTAATATACAGTCTATGACAGTGAAGTTATTTATTTGACATTAATTATTTAATTTGTCCACGCTGACACTCATACCACGGCCTGCAGGGGGCAGCATCCACAGGATTACCATATGTGGGCCTGCAGTTCCAAATCCAGCCCCTAGGACTGAACACAAAATCAAACCTGCTTACACAAAATATAACATATATAATAGAAATACTTAACAAATCGTCCAGTGATCAAATCTGCAGTGCAGACGTTTCTTATTGGAGAAAAAGCTGCTGACGATGATGTTGAGTTAGAATTGGGTGAAAGTCACAGAGACGAGACGAGAGGATTGATTTAATTATCTTTGAATGGATTGCTGTTAATTTGAGGCCAAAAGGTTTGTTAACGAAAACCTTAATTTTGACTGTTTTGCATGTTTGACCCCTGTGTTTGACCCCTGTGTGACGTGGTCACAGTCAGTGGCCGGACTCTAATGACCTCAGATCCACAGGGTTGACTTGTGTTTGTTTGAACAAGTAGGTGAACAGGTAGATGGTTTGTTTGTTGTGTACGATGTTCTGCATATCACTGGATGAATGAGCAATAAAGTCGGCTTTGAACACAACCGATCTGACGATCTGACTGTCACTGCTCACAAACTACATGATGCATTCAGTCTTTATACACAGAACACATAACAAATATATAATTATAATTATATTATGAGCAATGGTCATTAATACAGTTGTATTGTTATAATAGAGTTGTAATTCATGAAAAATGTAAAAAGTGACACGTGACTCTCCTGCAATGGTTCTCCATTATATTCTGTCACCCCTCTGTCACCCCCCCCCCCCCGTCCGCTCATCACAACAAACAGCTGTTATGTTAGAACTTGTTTATTCAACTCTTATTTTAATTTATTGTATTTGTTTTTATGCGCATTCTGGTACATTCTAATGACGGGGCACTTTGTTTCTGTGTATTACGGTAAAAAAAAAGGCAGCCCAGAGTCTGCTGGCCGTTGTTGAAAGACGGGGGTGTAAAGAGAGGCTGTTCGAACCCAAAACAACCGTGACAGTGGACTAACTCTCTCTGAAGTCACCGGGAGGAGGTAACGGGAGACGGTGTTGGGGTGAAACCACAAATCCCGGTCGGTGTTGGTGAGAGTGCGGCGGTCACGGCACAGTGACATGTTCAGCACCTTCCTGTGCAGCAGTGGTGAAATCCACGGAGTGTTCCACAGCAGAACAGCTGACCACAGGACCCAGCGGTTCTCCTAACGAGATGTGAACGAGCGAAGGAAAACAGCACCATGAACAGAGACGTCAGGTAACAACACACACACACACACACACACACACACACACACACACTCTGAGGGTCCTGCTGCTGCTGAGGCTGAGGCTGCTGCTGCTCAGTCTCCAGCCCCTCCTTGTTCCGCTGCTACGATGGTGTAATGTTTACATGAGATCTGAGGGTCCTGCTGCTCGTCCTCCCTCGTCCTCCCCCGTCTTCCCTTGTCCTCCCTCGTCCTCCCTCGTCCTCCCTCCGACCACTTCCCTGCACTCAGCTCTCACTCCGACATCTTTAATGTAGTCAACACACAGTGAGATCCACCGGGACGTGATTGGTGAGTCCTCAAGTCAAAGGGAGCAGCCAGCTGTGCAGCCACCGAGGACCGGAGTGAACCGCCTCAGCTGCTCTTCTTCACTGGATCGTGCCAGTGCAGTGTTACATAAGAAGCTGGTGGTTGGAGCAGGACACGGGGGGGGGGGGTAAATCTACAGTAAAACCCATTAAGATGAAGTATTACTGTAAGTGTTGTTTGTCTCCATGTGACCCTGACCCTGACCCTGTGACCTGTCCGGGGTGTGAGCCCCATCCCCCCGGCCCCCCACACTCATCCCTGAAACTGATGAAGTTGTTGAAGATGGGAAATGAATGGTCAGAGAATTTCAGCCAGTTATAAGTTGATAAACATCTGAGGTATCCACACTGGACTGTTACTGAACTGTTACTGGGCTGTTCTTGGACTGTTACTGGGGCGTTACTGGGCTGTTACTGAGCTGTTACTGGGCTGGTACTGGGCTGTTACTGAGCTGTTACTGGGCTGTTACTGGCCTGTTACTGGCCTGTTGCTGGACTGTTACTGGCCTGTTGCTGGACTGTTACTGGCCTGTTGCTGGACTGTTACTGGGGCGTTACTGGGCTGTTTCTGAACTGTTACTGGGCTGGTACTGGGCTGTTACTAGACTGTTACTGGGCTGGTACTGGGCTGTTACTGGCCTGTTACTGGGCTGTTTCTGAACTGTTACTGGTTTGTTACTGGGCTGTTCTTGGACTGTTACTGGGGCGTTACTGGGCTGTTTCTGAACTGTTACTGGGCTGCTACTGGACTGTTACTGGGGCGTTACTGGGCTGTTACTGAGCTGTTACTGGGCTGTTATTGGACTGTTACTGGGCTGGTACTGGGCTGTTACTGGTCTGTTACTGGGCTGTTATTGGACTGTTACTGGGGCGTTACTGGGCTGTTTCTGAACTGTTACTGGGCTGCTACTGGACTGTTACTGGGCTGCTACTGGACTGTTACTGGGCCACATAAAGAGACAAACAACAATTCACACTGACCTCTTGACCTTTGGTCCCCATGTGTTCTGTGTGTTAATGTACTGTGGAAGGAAACCAATGTAAACAGAGAAAATCATGTGTCAGCGTGAAACAGCGCAGCCAAAAGAACTGTTTTATATTATTATATTATTATTATTATATATTATTATATTATGTTATTAAATCATAAAATCTTATGTCATGTTATACTTGATCCCTGTCATGTTGATAAACCACTGGTAACAACAGTAGCTTGTTATGAATCGTCGTTGCTCGGACTGTCTGAGTGTCTGCTGTCTGTGTTTTGTGCGCTTTCATTGGCTGAACGTTAAGGGGGCGTGGCCTCACAATAACAATGCATTTCAAGGAGCACACACGCGCCAAGCCATGTTTTTGTTGCCGTGCAGCTAATGCCAACGTTCGAGTCGTTTAACTGTTTATCCTGCACAATATACAACTGTTGATACGTTTCCGAGATATTATCGTCCTTTTAAAATTAACGTTTTTATTTAGAGGAAGTCGAATTTGATATGCAGTCGCTCAAGGCGTTGTGTTAGCTGGTTAGCATCAGCAGGCTAACTGAAGCTCCGTCGGAAACGTTAGAAAAAAACAATCGACCGGAAGAAACAGCGGGGGATTTACTAACGTCAGTTACTGCCTGTTCTGAGTTTGACGAGGTTCGAGTCCGGGAGACGTTGATGGGACGCGACGTTTTGGAAGCGACACCACCTACTATTTCCCCTTCACACCGACCGGGAAACTAGCCCAGAGAGTAAGAGGTTTGCTGTGTTTGTGCTAAACGTATGTTACCAAAGGTGCTGTGGTCGTATCCCGTGTTAGTCGTGTGTTGTTAGAACACAGAGACGAACCGGAACAGATGTGAGGAGATCAAACTAGCTGTGTTAGCCGTGGCCACTGTTAGCTGCTCCCCTTCACAGGGAGGTCGACACGGCCCTGACAGGAACGAGCGCCTGCGTTCACGACAACACTGTGTCCCTCGTTTCTGTAGCCACACCTGGGTGGACGGGACGGTTGACACACGTGTGACAGCGTGAAGCTCGGCCGTGTCCGGCCCACGGTGGCTGGTGTCGAGGGCTCAGCCGGAGCCGCTGCATCTTTTGTTGTTGCTTTGTCCTATGAGCACATGGCTCACCATGTTTTTCTTCAGGCGGCCCACAGCGACCCCTATTTATCGTGTCTACAAAAATAGCGTGTGACAACGACTGACACAGAAGTGTTCAACCAGGAATCATCATTTATTCATAACCGTCGATTAATCACATCGATTGATCGACACTGTTTTCCTCGTCTTTGATGACAACGATCGGACGTTGATTTGGATTCAGGAACAAAACGGTTAAAACTGTTCATCCCTTTTTATTGAATGTGAAACGTTTTTTAAGATAATAATCGTTTAGAAAGTTTAGATGAAATTGTTCTGCGTACAAAACAAACTGGCTTTAGTTTTATGTAAGAAACCTGTGGAAAAGGTCCGTTTGGCTGCAGTTGTTAAATGGTTTTATTTGGGTGGATTTGATACAAACACGTAGAAGGTTTTTATCATTATATGAATGTAATGTGTTTCTATAATTATAAACATACAGACAAAAGGAAGACGTGTGTTTGATTTCCAAGATGTATATAATAAAAGTAGTAGTTTGGTGTGAAGTGGAGGCTGAGCTGCTGCTGAAGTGTCATTTCTGTTTGTCCTTCAGGGTTGAGACAGTCAGAGGCAGCACAAGTGCCTCCGCTGAACCCTTTCCTTTTCCCAGAGTGTGACTGGTCTGCTGGACGTCACCAATGCGACCATGGGAAATAGCAGTAAATAGGCTGCCAACAACAGCCCCGCTCAACCCCCGCAGGTTCCTCGGCGAGCCGTGTAACGCCCCGGTGCATCTCAGGAGAAGGTAACTGTGATATTTTATTTTACACTCTTGATGGAAATGTTAGGATTTTGTGTGTTTGTGGACACGACTTTACTGGTCAGTGGTTTTTTTTAAGCCAGGTTCAAACCTGACGTCTGTGGAGAGATGTTACCACACGTTAGATCATACATTAGATTATAGTCATCCATGGAAGTCAAGACGTTTCACCTCTGATCCCAGTTCTGACTGAAGTTCTGCTATTCAGCCTCAAAGGGGCAGCATACCTGTGACGAGGGTCGTTGTAGAAGGGGGGGGGGGGGGTGGAGGTGTGGTGGATTGTAAAGTCACCAGGTTAGAGGTGAGAATGGGGGAGATACCTCAATAATAATAATAATAATTGAGAAATAATTTTGTAATATTGTTATAAAATGGGTAAAATAACTAGAAAGGGACAGTGAGGGAGACAGCGCCACCTTGTGTTGGGCCACTAAGGTAAGAGAAGGACTGGGAGTTAGGAGAGAGAAATAAGGCGATGGGTGAAATGAACAGCGAGTGGAAAAATGACTTCCTGTTTACAAGGCAGAGGTTTACTATTTATTCAACTAGTAATGGTGGATTATATTCACTAAACTAGTCACATGACGGCTAACTGCGTCCTGGCTCTGATGTGACAAAACCGTGTTAGGACGTTTACAAGACTAATGTGTTCTGTGTGTGCCTTCCCTTTCTGTGGGGGGGGGGTGTAGTCCACCAGTGAGGCGTCAGTGGGGGAGACAGCACACGTCCCTGGTCCAGGATGACTCGTTCCGTCACCTGCTCTTCCCCCAGCATCACCAACAGGTCCCTTTAGATGACTCCAGACCGTACGCACACACCAGCGCACCCCCACGCATGCTCCACCCTGCTGCCCACCCTGCTGCCCACCCTGCTGCCCACCTGCCCCAGCAGAGTCCCATCATGGTGGACCTACACGAGCAGGTGAACGGCTCGCGGCGCCCGGCGTCGACACACAGGTTTTTACCGTAGGTGACTGTAAAATCATCTCCGCTCCTTCTCTCTCGTCTCCTTCAAAGATGCACCAGGGATCGGTTCCGATATCGTACACCGTGACGACGGTGACCACCCACGGATTCCCCATCCACTCCGGGCAGCCCCTCCCAGGCTGCAGCGCTCAGCAGCTCCCAGCATGCTCGGTAATGTTCAGCGGACAGCTCTCTCTGCTCTGCTGCCTTCCTCCTCCTGTGAGTTTGAAAAGGAAGAACGTCAGTTGCATCATTGTAACACATCTGCACCTCAGTCACACTGTTACGCTGCTGTTACGCTGCTGTTACGCTGCTGTTACTGTGCAGGGTCGACATGAAGCTAGTGTGTTGGCACGGCAACCACAGAGTAGTCAGTAGGAAGTGACCAGTCAGTGGTCAGTTGTTCAGATTAAGACAGCAGCTGTGGACCAGTGCCCCCGCCCCCCTCTTTGAGCCACAGCACATTTGAAAAACATGAATTCAATGCTGTTATCAATAAAAACAACAGACAGACAGAGAGAGAGAGAGAGAGAGAGAGAGGTTGATCTTGACCTTGATGTTTGTCTTTCTTCAACTCCTACGAGTCAAGGTTGGTGATGACCTTTGTTTGGTGGTGCATCATGGGATTTTTCTAATATAAAACAGGCTGTGGCTCAAAGGAAGGTTGGGACCACTGATCTAGTGATGTCATCAGTGATGTCATTATCTCTTCCTCATTTCCTGTTCTAACAGAGAACCATAACATTGATGTTGATGTGAAAACCTGCTGCTGGTTTAAACAGA